TTATTTGTACTGGTACAAATAGTAGTAGCTTTGTAAATTTCTATATATAGTGGTTTAATAATTCGCTCTGACTACAAGTGGAAGCCTCAGTGACTGCGTTGTAGTAATCTACACTATTACTATTGAAAAATTTTTTACTAATAAAGTATGAGTAAGATCTCACCTTAAAACCAAAAAAAAAAAAGTTTCCAATCTATATTATGAGTTACTATCATTTGAAGTAGAGTTATCTCTTATTGCACCTTTTTATGATATTAATTCAAATATAAAAAAAAGTAAATATTATAAAGGTATTCTTAGATATTTAAAGGAACTTAGTATGCTACTAAAACTTTAATAGTTCAAGTTGATCTAGCTTAAGTTAATAGTGCACTATCTTTAAATTGAGAAAGTAATTAAGTAATTTCCAATTCTAATAACTTAGATTTACAAAATCAACTTATGCCTTTAGGGTATGTACACAAATATCACAAGATTTTAGAGTTAATAACTTTTTAAAACAATATCCAATAGAAAATATTAATATATTAAGTAAATAATTGGATATATTCTCAACATTAATGAGTACATGTTATCAGTCAATTTTTGACTATAATATATTAATATATCATATTGAAGTTTCATGTAGATTATTATTACAGTTTTTGTATAAATTTGATATAGCTTATAATTATCTTAAAGAATGAATTATTAAATGTACAAGTCATGAAAAGGAAACCAAGTCAGCAACCCAAGTTAGAGCTCTTCTAACTGAAAAGATATCTCTTTATGATATGTTTAATATTAATAAAACAAATTCTTTTCAAATTAAACATATTGTAAATGGTGATTCTTTTAAAGTTAGAAAATAAAAAAAAGATCAAGAATTAGAGGATTATTCAGATTTAAAAATAACTATGTCTGGTTTCACTGGATGTATTTCATCTAGAAAGCTTACCACCTTTATTATAGCAGGACCTTGTTTAAATCAGCTTTTAAATATACTTAATAATAATTGTATATTGTTAGATACTATTAATGATATTAGTATCACATGGTTAGAAAATTTTACAAAAGAGGAATGGGCTATGTTTATAAAAAATATTCGAGGTTATTAATACTCTACATATATGAAAATTTTGTATTTGCATGCTAAAATTTTGTTATATTGCTTGTATATATTTAGTTTTTATTATATTAAATATAATAAAAAATTTTAAATAGCAAGATTTATAAAATTGGTTAGCTTTATAAATATAATCATGATCTTAATTACAAAAATAATTTAATACTTAGAAGTTATACAATTTTGCAAAATATAATAATTATGTTATATAATTATATTGTTTTTTGATTATTTTATAAATCGTTTTGTTACTTTAACAAAAAACAAATTCGTAATTTGCAAAAATATATAGTAAAAAGGTTTGTTATTTTATAAATTACTATTAAAGCTAAAATAGTATAATTAATTATTACAAATACTTATTTAGTTTTTAAAATTATAAATGTTATATAATTAGCTATAGATAAAAAGTTTTATATACATGCATATTTTGCCTGCAGGAAACCAATGAACATGGCAAATATTTAAGTACTTCTACTCGAACAAGACATAGAAAGCGAGAAAAAAATCTTCAAAATACTTTTACAATTTTAAATAATATATCCAATAGTCAAACAAATATTATTAGTATGGAGGATATTGAAGAAAATATTAATCAAAATATTGAAAAAAGTAAGTTTAAAAATAGCAAGTAATAATATAAATTGTTCATTTATATTAAATTTAATTTTTTTAAAAAAATTAAGATTTGGAAAATGAATTGTTTGAAATAGAAAAATTAGAAATGAATGAAAAAATAGAAGAAGAAGAATTAGAAATGAATGAAGAAGTAGATAAAGAAAAATTAGAAGAAGAAGAAAAATTAGAAGAAGAATTAGAAGAGGAAAAAGAAAAAGAATTAGAAGAGGAGAAAGAAGAAAAATTAGAAGAGGAGAAAGAAGAAAAATTAGAAGAGGAGGAAGAAGAAGAATTAGAAGGAGAAGAAAAAGAAATAGATGAATTAGAAAAAAAATTTGATAAAGTTAAATCTATTTCAATAGATAATAGTAATTATTTTTTATTAATTTAATAGAAATTTTAATATATTTATTAATATATTTATATTAATATTTTTCTATTTTAAGACTTATCAGATAATATAATTAATTGATAATCCGTAAGTCACCTAAAGAAAATGATCAATATGCATTAAATAAAAATAACACAAATTACATAATGAAAATCCTAATACAGAAATATGAAATTTTTTTATATGTACGTGAAAATATATTTACCTTACTTTTTATATGGCAGTAGTAAAACCTCTATAACCGCTCTCTATAAATGCAGACCATCTCTGATGACTGCATACTCAAATTCAGACCTACATAACCTATATGCACTTTTTTAAATACATGTTAAAGTTCAGTTCCAAGAGCATACATTTATAGAGATTTTACTGTATATACTCTAAATGTACCCTCTCTAAATGCATCCTCCCTCTAAATGCACTCTCAACTTTCGGCCCAAGTATATATTTGACTTTTATAAATGCACGTTTTCATATTGTTCTCTAAATGCATGTTTTTAGAAGTTTGAACCCTATTGCATGTATTTAGAGAGGTCTCTCTGTCTCAAATATGTAGAATGTAAAGTACTCTGGATACTTTAGACGAAGTTTTATGGTAAGGTAATTGGCATTAGTTTATGAAGTTTTTGTTCAATACTGTATAAATAGCATTATATATACTAATGATTTACCCAAGTGTTATTTCTGTTTTATTATTGAATTAAACCAGCTATTTTATAAAAATCTACTTCCCACTATATCAACTGTTCAAAAACTAATCCGATCCTTCACTACCCAATAATACCAAACATTTCAATAGCAATAGCATTTTATTTTACAGCTTAGAATAGTCTTATATATGTATTTTTAAAACTCTGCTAGTTTAAAACCTACTCACTAGTTTAGAATCCACCTGCTAGTTAAGTTTAAAAACCTATTAATTAATAATAATGTAAAACCAAAATTAACAAGTTTAAATAAAATTTATTTTATATTATATAAATATACATTCACAACTTAATCACATATTGCATAGTCTAATATACCTTCAACCAAGACCTGATCCTATTCTAATCCTAAACCTGACTGATTCTATTTCTAACTAAAAAACCATTTCTAACCCTAAACCTAATTCTATTTATAAACCTAACACTAAATCAAACCTAATTCTACACACTTCGTAAACGATGTTTGGCATCCTCACAAAATGTATTTTCTAATGCTTTTCTAATATCTGTTCTGATTATTATTAAAATTAAAATAATCTAAGTTAGCTAGCTAGTGCAACAAAGTCAAAGAGATGTTTTTGGTATTCTTATAAAGCATGCCTGCTAATGCTTTTCTGACATCTAATCCAAGACTATTATTTTTTTTAAAAAAAAAATGGAGGTTAGTGTAGCGCAGTAAAGTCAAAGTGATTGGTGTTCTTGTAAGCGCATCTGCTAATGCTTTCCTGACATCTACTCCACAACTATTGTTAAAAAAAAAATACACCTGAAGAAAGTTAGCATAGTGCAGTAAATTCAAAGTGAGATTGGTGTTCTTGTAAAGCATATCTGCTAATGCTTTTCAAATGTCCGGTCCAAGACTTATTAAAAAAAAAATTTAGTGTAGTGCAGTGAGATCAAGGTGATATTTGGTGTTCTTGTAAAGCACACCTGCTAATGCTTTTTAGAAGCTGATCCGTAACTATTATTAACCAAAAAAAAAAAACCTAAGAAAGCACACTTGCTAATGTGTCTGATCCAAAACTATTAAAAAAAATCTTTCTAATAAAAATTAGCATAATGTAGTAAATTCAAAGTGATATTTGGTGTTCTTGTAAAATATACCTGCTAATACTTTTCAAACGTCTTGTTCAC